AATCCCAGTCCCAGCCTGTTTTTTCACCCAGGCTCTGAGGGGAGGCTGGAGAAAATGGCTCTGGTGATGTCCCCTGGCACTTCCCAGCCTCCCAGGAGAGCGGGAATTCCAGAGGTTCTCCCTTGGAGCACGTCCTGCCTGGTCCCTCCCCCTCCCCCCCCTCCCATCAGGTTTTAAGTCCAAGGACTATTTTTAGCCAGACAAAAAAAAAACCAAAAAAACCCAAAGAAAACCAAACATTGCTTTAGATTAGTGCTGGTCAAAGGGAAACTCCTGCAGGAAGGAGTGTGAGGCTGGGATTTGTGCTGGGATGGAGGTGGGATGTTCCTGCTGAGGGGTTCCATGGGCAGCAGTGGAATTCCCTGGGATGAGGCAGGAGAGCCTGTGGCTGCTTTGGAATCTCTGCTTTAATCTCTTCTCTCCTGCTCTGGATCCCTTTTGGGAGTCTCCTCCAGCTCTGATTTGCTGCTTTAACTTCTCCTACCCATTTTTTAGGGAGGAGGGTGCTGGCCTGGACAACAGTGGGAAAGGGGATGGATGTGTTGGTGTTAACTGTGGGAAGAGAATAATCCCTCTGCCTTTCCCCCCTCCCTGGAGCTCCCCGTGGTTTCCTGGATTTCCCAGCTGAGCAGCTCAGCCATTCCATGAGCTGATCCCATCCCATCCCAGAGTGCTGCTTTCCCAGCCTTGGGAATGTCTGTCCCTCCTGCTGTGGCTCTGCAGAGTCACCTGCCAGGATCTGGCTGGTGATTCCAGGAGGTGCCCCCGTCCCCTCCCAGAGCCGGGAATGGCACAACTCCGCTCTTAATTAGCAGCAAATTGCCTGTCTGGTTCCTGTTCAGGACCTGCCAGCTTGTGATGTCCCTGGTGGGAGGTGATAAAAGTGTCTGTGGGGGGAAGACAACACTGGTGCTGGGTGAGATTTTGGGAAAGGAGCGCGGGAGAGTTCGTGTCCCACTCCGGTGTCTTGGGATAACTCCAAGGCAAGATGTGGTTCAGGGACACAGCTTTTGGGCTGGGCTCCCAAGGCCTTGGGTTTAGTGTTGTCTGGTGCTGATGGTGTTATCCAGTGGCCAGTTTTTAATCTCTGGTTGGAGCTTTTAAAAGGCAGCACGTTGGATTTTCGGGTTGGATTTTCAAGCTTTGGTGGGTGATGGGATTGGATCCCTGCTCAGGAGCGGGATATTTGGGAGGGGATGGATCCATGTTGAGGTGCAGGATAGTTATGAGGTGCTGGGATTACATCCATGCTCAGGGACAGGATATTTGGAAGGGGGATGGGATTGGATCCCTGCTCAGGTACAGTTTGAAAGCCGGAGCACAAGATTTATCTGTTGGGAACTCACCGGACCAGATGTCTGGGAACAGCCTTGTTATCCAGCCACCTCTTCCCTGGGATTTCTTCCCTTGGAAGTGGTGGCTGACCTGTGGGACCTGTGCTTGTTTTGCAGATGTTCTCAAACAACGATGAGGCCGTGATCAACAAAAAACTGCCCAAGGAGCTGCTGCTGAGGTGAGTCCCTGCCATGGGGAGGGGAGTGGGATTTGGGGATTTGCTGCTCGAGCCTGGACTGGGTCACTGCTAAAACCTTTCCCAAAAGACAGCAGGAGGTCCAAGGTCTGTGCCAGCAGCAGTTTGTGCTAAGTGTGTGCAATTTTAGGGGTTAAAATGCTGAATTAATTGGCCCCTTGCCTGTTTTGTAGGTGGAGGGGCTGTAGGACTGAGGGAATCCTTAGTGAGACTGAGTGGGAGCCGGTGTGGAGAGCAGGGCTCTGCCTCCCTGCAGGGTTTGGTTCAGAGCAGGATTTTTATTATTTCCAGTCTGATTCAGGTTCTCTCATCCCAGAGCTCCTCACCCAAAAAAGCACACGGGGTGTGTCTTGTGGAGCCCTCCCCGCTGACAGTGTGTGGTGGATGTTGGGGTTTGGGAGCCTGGCACAGGGGGGGAGTGACACAGTCCAGCAGCAAGAGGGATAACAAAAATGGTCTTTTCTGGGTTTTCTGGGAGTGGATTGTTGGTGTGGTGGGAGCAGGTACGACAAAGTGCAGCTTCCACCCCTCAGCCGCGCACGGGAGGCACCGAATCCATCCGAGAGGGGACAGAGAAGGAGCCCTTTCCCCAGCAGCGCTGCCCAGACACACCAGCCTTTGTCCAGCAGACACTGACACCCATTTACAGGAGATTCCTACAGGGAAACCAGTCCAAGTTTCCCTTTCAAAGGCCGCACTGTCAGTCCACGCTCATGAGTGTTCGCAGTCTGCTGGCAGTGAATCCCAGCTCTCCAAACCATCACTTATGAACTTCAAACATTTATCAACTGATGGTTTCTCCCTGGTTTCCCCCCTCCCTGATCCCGGACATCTGCTGGGATGGGATGGCCAGTGACACCAAGGCACCAACACTGGTGTCATCCTGGGGGGATGTGGGGCTGTCCAACACCCCCCACCTTGGCAGGAGCAGGGACCAGGCAGGTGGAGAATTGGGCTTTTCCTGCCTGGTTCATGGGCAGGTCAGGCAGTTTGCAGCTCTCTCCTGGCCTAAGCAGCTTTGATCCGTGCTCTCTGCCTGCTCCCCCTTCCCAGCACTGCCTCTGCCATCCAGCATTCCAGCCCCACCTTGGTTTATCCCCTGGGGAGATGGAGTTCTTGGGAATTGATGAGGAGGTGGGAGCAGAGCTGTGGTTTCTGTCTCCCCCCTGCCCAGCCCATGGGAGCAGGATCCACCTGGAATGGTGACTCACTGGCAGGAACTGCTGGGGATAATTTTAGAAGGCTGAAGGTCTAAGCTGCCTCACCTCAGAGCCCTCAGCATCCAGGGATTTCAGCAGGGGCCTGACCCTAATCCAGTTAGGGACAGTGGGAAAGTGAGGAGTCCTAGAGACCCTGAGTGGATTAAGAGGGTGAAACCTGAAAATTGCTCTAAGTAGGTGTGTTTTACCCAAACTGTCCAGGGCTGAGCTGTTCAGCTGCACGTGGGGAGTTACTTTGCAGCGAAGCAGTTCAATCTGCTGCAATTCCAGCCTTAATTCCTGTTGGGAAAGCTCAGCCTGCCTTCAGCCCTGGTCGCTGCCTGGCGATAAAGTTAATTTTGTGGATTATTTCCTCGCTGTCGACTCTGGAGAGAGAAAAGACCAAGTGGGGAGCAGAGCAGGAATCCTGCCTGGATGGAAAAAGGAACATCCCTGCCCGGTGCCTTTGGGTCTGTTAAGGCAGAACTGGGAAAAATCATCCAAGGAGTGCTTGTCTGGGCACCCCGTGCCAGTGTCCCACCACCCTCCCAGGGAGGGATTCCCTCCCAATATCCTACCCAAACCTGACTTCCACTTTGGAGCCGTTCCCCCTTGTCCAGGCCCCTGTGAATGGTCTCTCTCCATGTTCCCTGTGGCTCCCTCAGGCACTGGAAGGCCACAATTAGGTCACCCTGGAGCCTTCCCTCGTGCAGGCTGAGCAATCCCAGCTCTGCCAGCCTTTCCTCACCCCTCTAATCACGGGGGTGACACCCGGGACTAATCCGGGCACCGAAACCGGGCTGGCCCTGCTTTGATCCCGGGGCTGGGAACGCTGGCACTGCCCACTCCTGGGAGCTCCTGCTGGAGGTGTCGGTGCCCTGGGCTCGCTCCCAGGTGGAATCAGAGCCAGCCATCCCCAGAATCCCCGTGGGTGCTCCCTGTGCTGCCCAACGTGGGGCTCTTCGGGGCCGTGACCGCCGCGTTCCCTCCGTGGAGCTGCTCCAAGGTGGGAGATTCCCATTTTCCTGTGGCCTCCAGAGCTGGGTTTTGCTTTTCCTTTGGGAGCTGCTGCCTCTGCACTTCTTTTCAGCTTTCAGCTGAATCACAAAGGAGTTTTGCTGCCCCTGGTTTTTTTCTTTTCCCCCCTCACCCGCTCTTTATTTTCCAGTTCATGTTGAATATCAGTGACCAATAAGGTGTCTCTCGTTTCTCTTCCAGAATTTTCTCCTTCCTGGATGTGGTCACTCTGTGTCGCTGTGCTCAAGTTTCCAGGGTAAGGACCTTCCTCCTTTCCTGGTGGATTTTAGCAGGGGGTTGGATCTTGGTGGTGGGCAGGGGGGGCAATCCTCTCCCTCCAGCCCTTCCCAGTCACAGGGGGGGGTTGTGGCAGGGCCCTTTGTGCCACTCAGCTGTTGTTTGGTGTCCCCTGTTAACACTGGAAAACTCCCAGTGAAGGGGACTCCAGGCTGGAATAACATTTTCCAGTGTCCCAGGTAGGAAGGGGGTTTGACTTTCTGCCCAAATTTCCCCCTCAGCCTATTTTTTTTTCCAGGCTGCTGGAAACCCCAGAACTGGCAGTCTGAAATGGTTTGGGTGGAAATACAGGAATTCTGATTCACAAAGGTGCTGCAGAGCCAGTGAAAGTTAATTTCCTCCCTGGATGTAGCTGGAGTAAACATGGAGGGGGAAAAAAAAAACTCCCACAGTGTTTTGTTTGGGGTGGTTTCTGTCCTTCGTGGTGAAATCCAGCTTGGAATGTTCTCTTGGGAAAGTTCTTCCAGCTGCAGGTCAGGTTATCTGGAGCTTCCAGGTTTATGCAGGTGCTTTATCTGGGAAGAGCCAGAGGAGGCACCGCTGCAGGAAAGGGTGGGAGGTGTTGGAGTGGAGTGTTCCCTGTCCTGGCTGGGTCACACCTGCACAAAACTGCTCAGTGCTGGTTCAAACCCACGCCACAGCTCAGTGCATCAGCCCAGGCTCTCTGGAATCAAAACAAAACTCTGCTTAAACATTATTTACTGCATTAAAACTGGGCCTTGGGCCTTGGCAGTTCCCACCTGGGTCACGCAGGTCCGGGAGGGAAAGGCCTTCCAGGTGGAATCCGCAGCTCCAGAGGAACAGTCCTGGCCAGAATGGGATCCTGCCAATGTCAAGGTGCCCTCCTGGACTGTCCCTTGCTCCTGTTTGCCCAGGGAAGCAGGGAACACGTCGCTCATCCCGTGGCACGGCACGTGAAGTGCCTGTGGGAGGTGCAGGAAGGCTCCGGAATGTTCCCTGCCCGTGGAATTGGGCAGCCACCAGTGCATTTCCCACCGGGGCTGTTGCTTTTCCCACGGACCTTAAAACAAATAACAGCAGCAATTCAAAACCCCAGAGGGAAAAATCAGTGAATGCCCAGTTCTGTCCCCCTGCTCTGACTCTGTACCGCTTGTTGCTGGTGTTTTGGGCTGGGGGTGAGCTCAGTGCAGGGGAGGGATGGGGTGGAAAATCCACCCGTATTTATCCCCCGATTTCCCAACGCTGAGCTCCTGGTTGTTACCAGGTCTGGCTGTTTGCTTTGGTTGTGCAATTAAAGCTTTCACACACACAGCTCTGGGCTGATTCACTGAGGGCAGAACCACCGGCCCTGGGCTCCTGCCCCTCCTCTGTAGCAGGAACCACGGTGAGATTTGGGGTCGTTTGGGCCAAAACCAAAGCACTTGTCGAGTGCTGAGGGTCCCCTGGGGGGCACTTTAATTCCAGCCAGGAATGTGAAGGTGCCCACCGCTCCTCCCACCCTGAGGGCACCGATTCCCTGCTTGGGGGGACTCTGGAATTCCAAGAGGGGACCCCAGGGGGGCTTTCCCATCCGGCATTTCTGGTACCTGCCCAGTTCTGCGTGTTGGAATTCCCCTGTTGCTTTTCCACCTGGGACACTGAGGATGTTGTTTCTCCAAGGAGCAGACTGGGACATGATCCCCCCACACTGACCTTTTTTTTTTTTTTTTTCCTATTAACCACACATCTACATTTTTTCCCCCCTGATAAAGGCATGGAATGTTCTGGCCCTGGATGGCAGTAACTGGCAGCGAATTGACCTGTTTGATTTCCAGAGGGACATTGAGGTATCATTAAGTGACATACAAACCCAATTTTTTTTTTTTTCCTTCCCCTTGTTAAACTGTAATTACAGCCTAGAATGGATTCCTACTCCCAGAGTAACCCTTTTTGCCTTCCCTGGAGATAGAGATCATTAATTCCAGTCCTTCAGCTTCGGGGAGCCTTTTAAAAAGCCTTGGCAATCCATTCAGCTTTTGAAAATGGACAGAATTATGTATCTGCATCGAGCCTGGAAGGGGGTAATGGAAGGAAAGTGGTTTTGCCTGTTCTGAAAACAGAAATTAGTAGAAAATGTACGTCTTTGAGGGGGAAAACTGCTGCTTGTGTGGAGCAGAATTGAGGCTGTTTCTCCTTTCCCTCCCAGTCAGCACAGCACTGATGAGACCATGAAGGCTGAATGTCTGCTGAATCCTTTCCCTGTCCGTCTTTAACATCAAAAATTGGCATTTCAGTGAGGATGTTTGGGGGGGACGAGGTCAAAAGTTGTCCCTGAAAAGATGCAGCTTTGGAGCTGCTTCACTGTTGAATCTGCTGGATGTGGGCTCTGCACTGATAGGCATTGTCTTGATAAAACCCAAACCCTTTAGTTTTTTATCAGAATGTTTTATCCTGTTTAAAAAAAGAAAAAAAAAAATCCTGAAAAAACCCAACCCCTTTTAAATGAAAATGCTGGAATTTGTCGTTCCTCACCTCCAGAACCCGCTGGGCTTCCTGATGTGCTCAGGCTCTGCTTTGAGGGAGTTAAATCCATCAGCTGGTGTAAATTCTTGATGCAAACGTGTTTGGATCCCCCTAACCCAAGCAGGATCTCCAGGCTTGCCAGAGGAATTGCAAAACCTGGGGATGTTTCAGCTGCTCCAGCCGTTTTTCACAGGGATGTGGAGCCGCTCCTGTGGCAAAAAACTCACCTGGAGATCTCAGTGTCCCTCTTGGGTTGTGGGGTCGTGTTGGATTGAGCCTGATCCTCAGTTTTGGGGGCTTTTTTTTTTGCTGTCCCTTGGAAATCCTGCTGCCCCTTCCCTCCCATTCCTTAGAGGGGGGGTCTGTGTGGATATCCAGGAGCTCCAGAGTGGGAAAAGCTCCTCAGAATTCCCCCATCCTTAAGTGATGGGCCCCAGGGAGCTGCTCCGTGTCTCTCCATCTTCAGAAGCTGAATAATCCCCCCTTTCCCTGAGACCCTTTCCATGGCATTTTTATTTCCTTGTAGCACCCTAAAGCAACAAGCTTGTTGTTAATCTGCCAAATGTCAAATTCAGCTGTTTGGGGGTTTGTTTTTTTGGGGTTTTTTTTGGGTTTTTTTTTGGGGGGGGGAATGCTGAGGTGCCCTCTCTGTCTCCCCCAGGGCCGGGTGGTCGAGAACATTTCCAAGAGATGTGGGGGATTCCTGCGGAAGCTGAGCCTGAGGGGCTGCCAGGGAGTGGGGGACAACGCCTTAAGGTAGAGCTGCACCTTCCTGCTGCTTGGAATGGGGCTGGGAAGGGGGATTTGGCTCCTCCAGCCACCCAGGGATGGGGATAATCCAGCCCCTCACCCCATGTGTGTGTGTGAGGGAAACCTGGAGGGCAGGGGCAGACACTGCTCATTTCCCACTTTAACTGGTTCAAAAGTCTTGTTAAAATTCAGTTTTTCTCGGTTCTCATTAAAATCCTGTCGGCTGCTGTTACAAACTCGGGAGGGGTTGGCACTGAGGGGCAGCTGAGGCCTTTAGTGGGGCTGGGAAAGCCCAGGGCACGGGGTGGGCCAGCAGAAATCTCTGGTTTTCTGGATTTTCTTCTGTTTTCCTGGGTTTGTTCTTTATTTCCCTAATTTTGTTCTTTATTTTCTTAATTTTGTTCTTTATTTTCTGGATTTTCTGTTTCCTTGATTTTCTTTTCTATTTCCTTAGTTTTCCTCTTTATTTTCTTGGCTTTCTTCTTCACTCATTTTCTTCTCGATTTTCTCGCCTTTCTCGACTCTTTTCTTGTTCCTTGATTCTCTTGGTTTTCTTCTTGATTTTCTTGATTTTTTTTTTTCTAGATTCCTATTTCTTGATTATTTTTCCATTTCATGATTTTTTTTATTTTCTTCTTTATTGATCTTCTTTATTGATTTTTATTGATTTTCTTTATTTATTTTCCTTATTGATTTTCCTTATTGATTTTCTTTGTTGGTTTTCTTTGTTGATTTTCTTCTTTATTAATTTTCTTTGTTGATTTTCTTTACCAATTTTCTCCTTTATTGATTTTCTTCTTCATTTCCTTCACTTTCTTCCTTATCCTCTTCGTTATTCTGCTCGAGACCGTTCTGCAAAACCTTAATCTGCTGAGTTCCAGCTGCAGGAATTCTGTTCCCTGGCCAACCCAGTGTTTTTCCCTCCCTTTCCCAAAGGACCTTCGCCCAGAACTGCAGGAACATCGAGGTGTTGAACCTCAATGGTTGCACCAAGATCACAGACGCGTGAGTAGAGCTCTTCCCTCGGCCCTGGCTGCTCCAGGGAGTGTTCCAGGGCTCCACAGCCCCCCTGGGGGTTCCATCCCAGAGTGCCCACCCCCCCTGCTCCCCCCGGAGCGCCGTGGGATGTGTGGGAGCTGGGATGGATCCATGGCAGGAGGGTCTCCCTGTCTCTCTTCCAGCACCTGCACGAGCCTCAGCAAGTTCTGCTCCAAACTCAGGCACCTGGACTTGGCCTCCTGCACCTCCATCACCAACCTGTCCCTGAAAGCACTGAGGTAGGAGCCAAGAGCACCGGCTGTGCCGGTGGAAATGTGGAATTAAGGTTGGAAAAGACCTCCAGGACCACCCCAGCCCCACCTGGGGAACATCCCCCCCACCCCGGGCTGAGCTCTGGGAACTGTCCCCCTTGGGCTTGGGGAGGGGTCTCTGTGCTCAGGTGGCTCCCAGAAATGGACATTTCAGGAGCAAAAAGCGGGATTTCCTCCCGAATCAAAGCAGCATTCCCATGTTTTCCCTGTCTCCCCCAGCGAGGGATGCCCGCTGCTGGAACAGCTCATCATCTCCTGGTGCGACCAAGTGACCAAGGACGGGATCCAGGCCCTGGTCAGGGGCTGTGGGGGGCTCAAAGCCCTGTCCCTGAAGGGCTGCACCCAGGTATGGCTCTGGAAAAGGGGGACGAGCACAGCTGGGATGTTCCTGCTGCTCCTCAGGGTGGGGTGGGGAGGAAATACTTTGGGCCTTTCTTTTGCTTCCCAAGAAAGTTCGGTCAGCAGAATTCCTCCCGGTCTGTTGGAGGTTTGGGGAAGTTCTTTAATCCTTGGAGAGGTGGGATAAGTCACAGACCGAGCTGGAGAATCCTCCTTTTCCCCCCATCCCCTCTTTTCCCGTTGAGCAAATCATTTTCGGGGGGGGCTGTAGGTGTGTTATCCATCCTTTGGGAAGGCTCCAAGGAATTTCAGTGCCCTCCTTTCATCTGTCTGGGATGGAATTCCCTCCCTGTGCCCTTGGGATTTGTAGTCACTCAAAGAGAATCTCTCTTCCTTGGAAAACACCTCTGGAATCTCAGTTTCCCTGCCAAAGCTCTGGAGTGTATTTGGAGAGGGTCTGACACCTGGATTTTGGGATGTATAAAGGCTAAAAGGGTGGGGGTTTTTGCCCCATTTGTTATATTTTGGTTATTTAAACTGACCTTTTATTTTTCTTTACTCTTACCTTGAAAAGTTTGATGAATTAAATCCCTCCCTGCTATTACAACTTTATATATATAAATATATGTATCAGTTATGAACTGGGGCAGGGGGAACATCAACCCCTTATCTTAATGTAGAAAATATAAACAATATCAATACAAAATATCTTAACCAGTACAATAAATGTGTAACATAAAAGAATACTTTTATTAAAGGCATTACTCTTGATAAAGAGTAATAAAACCTTTTTATTTTTCAAAGCTTTTTAACCCCCTGAGTTAAAAAGGAACTCGTTTGATCAAAGATAGAACCAGCCCGACCTATTTTGGGAATCCAGGTCATGGGAACAGCTTGAGTTTCCAGGAATTTAGGGAGTTGTGAGTAATATCGATGGCAATCCATCCTGGATATCCATCCCTTGCCATCTGCTCCTGGAGATTGAGGAATGGCAGGATTTGACCCTCAGGAATCACCCTGGGGTGTGCTGGTGCTCCTCGAGTTCCCTGGAATCAGAATATCCCGAACTGGAAGGGACCCACAAGGGTCAGAAAGGGCCAACTCCTGGAATTCCAGCACTGTTGGAGTAATAAAAAGAAGAAGGAGAAGAGAAGGAGAAGAAGAAAATGAGAAAAGAAAAGAAAGAAGAAAAAAAGAAAGAGGAAAGGAGAGGGAGAGGAAAGGGAGAGGAAAGAGAAAGGAAAGGAAAGGGGAAAGGAGAACAAGAAGAAGAGAAGAACAAGAAAAGAAAATAATGAGGAAATCATGTTGTTGTTACTGCAGTAGTAATTATTACTGCCACACGAGCCCAGGGTCACTCACAGGCCCCGGGGTGGTGGAACATTCCCCTGCCCCCTGTGAGGAGGAGGTGATTCCACCCCGTGCTTGGGAATCTGTCCCTGTGGGATGAGCCCAACTGTCCTTGTGGCTCTGAGCTCTGTCCTGGGCTGGCACAAACCCCCTTCCTCCCCGGGCAGGAGCGCCCTCAGCACGGTGGGTCCTGTGCCTGTGGTGCCTTTCCCTCCTCCCCCAGAGGCTCCCAGAGCCACTTTGGTGCCCCCCCAGCTGCACTGGGGGGGTTTTAGCAGTGCCAGGTTGTCTCAGTGTCTGTGTTTTCCCCCCCCCTCTCAGCTCGAGGATGAGGCCCTGAAGTACATCGGTGCTCACTGCCCCGAGCTGGTGACGTTAAACCTTCAAACCTGCTTGGTAAGTGAAGCTTCCCAGTGTTCCCCCACATTCCCTGGGGAATGTGCTCCGTCCCCAGTGCAGCTGTGGGCAAACAGCTGATGAAGAAACCAGCTTTTTTGGTGCCATTCAGGAAGGCTGAATAAGCCCCAGCCCAGCCTTTGCTGTGTCAGGCTTGTCCCTCCCTTCCCTGCCCACGGGTGAGCTGGAAAAATCTCTTTCCATCGGTCCTGGAGCGGCCCTGCCAGGCCTTTCCTCTGGTCTCTTCTGTGGAATTGAACCCAAAAATGCGCAGTTTTCCTGCACAGGAGGGCCCTGGGCCAGTCCTGCAGTGCCAGAAATGTGCATTTCTGCCAAAAAAATGGGTTGGAACGGGCTCTCTGTACGTGCCATCCCACAGTTAGTCGGGAACAGCAGCTGGGCAGCCCCTTCCTTTTCCATGGAAGTGGGCCCTGTGTCCAGGGATGGGGCTGGATAAACCTCCTGTGTCTGGGAATGGGGCTTGGTAAACCCCCAGTGCCCAGGGATGGTCTTTCCAAGCAGGAATTGCAAAGGCAGGAATCCCAGCCCCTTCCCCACCCCTCCCCTGGCCCAGCTCCCGAGCATCTCCCTGCACACGAAAAATCACTCCCTTGACCTTTCCAAGCCACTCCAGCGGGGTTTATCCTATCCCAGCTGCTCCAGCAAAACACCTCAACGTGTTTCTGGGTCAGGAGAGCCAGAACTTGGCCCTGGGGCTGGAATTGTGGGAGGGGAAAAGTGGAATTTCACATCTTGGTGGTGTTTCACAGCAAATCACGGACGACGGGCTGATCACCATCTGCAGGGGCTGCCACAAGCTGCAGTCCCTGTGTGCCTCTGGCTGCTCCAACATCACCGACGCCATCCTCAACGCCCTGGGGCAGAACTGCCCTCGCCTCAGGTGGGTTTTCCCTGGAATTCCCAGCTCCAGGGGGTCCGGGGGACGCGCTCAGGGGCCAGCGGGGCTGTTTTGGCCTCTGAAGGTCTTTCTGGGAAGGGGGGGTTTTTATCCCCTGAGCTTCATCCAGGTGTTCTTTTTATGGGATGAGGGGAGGAAAACAGATCCCTGGTTAAAATCTGGTTAAAAAACAGATCTCTGGTTAAAATCTGCTTAAAAATCTGGTTAAAACCCAGATTCCTGTTTTTAAACTCGTGTGAGCAAACGAGCTCCTGCCCTGGTGCCCGCTGAGTAACTCTCCTCTCACACCACTATGGAACAGCTGGGAACAGCTGGAAGATGGTGCCAGGCTCTTCCCATTGACAGGGCATGAAATAAAACTGGGGAAGTTCCTCCTCAGGATGAGGAAGAGCTTCATTCCAGGGGGGACCTGGAGCAGCTGCCCGGGGTGGTCTCTGGACGTTCCAACCCCACCAGTGTCACCTTCCCCAGGCCTGGGCGGGGGGGGCTGCACTGGGTGATCCCCCAGGGGTCCCTCCCGACCCTCTCCTGGGATTCTGGGACCCCTCCATGGCTCCTGTGGACTCTTTCCATGCAGAATATTGGAGGTGGCGAGGTGTTCCCAGCTGACCGACGTGGGCTTCACCACCCTGGCCAGGGTAAGGGCTCCCTCCTTCCCTCCTTCCTTCCTTCCCTCTTCCTTTCTTTTTGGGGTAAATAACAGAAAAGCCCCACTGGATTTTGGGAAAACTTATCTCGGTGTCTGGGTGGAATCTAAGTTACAAAAATCGGGGTTTATGGAATCTTAAGTTACAGAAACGAGTTTATGGAAGCTAAGTTGCAAAAAAAAAAAAATTAAATAGGGTTTATGGAGTCTGAATTGCAAAAATTAGGGTTTATGGAAATCTTGAGGAGCAAAAATTAGGGTTTGTGGAATCCAGGCTCCAAAAGATAGGGTTTATGTGGTCTGTGGCATGGTCCTGACCCACAGACCTGGGAGGAGTTACATCCAAACCTCATGGAACGTTAAATACTTGGGAGTTACAGACTTTGCTGCTTGGTTATTAATTATTAATTACCCTAATTACCATTAAAACCCTTTAAATTTCCTTTACTGTCCTCGGTGCTGTCCTTAAAGAAGCGGCAAAATTTTCTTCCAGTCTTGATATTTCGTGCAGAAAAACCCCCCTAATTTTTAAAGAAAACTGTCTTTGGGGTGGTTTAGATTTATATTTTTTTTTTTTTATTGTCTGAACTTTACACTGAGTTTGGGGTGTTTGGTTTTCCTTTTATTCCCAGAACTGCCATGAGCTTGAAAAAATGGACCTGGAAGAATGTGTCCAGGTAGGAAACGTTTCCCTTTTGGCACAGCGTGGTGAAAAATCAGTCTCCAAGTCAGAACTTAATTTAGGAAGGTGTGGTTTCTGACAGGGCATGAAATCCCAGGGAATGGTCTTAACGCCCAGATGGTGCTAAAAATAACGGGGTTTTCCTCTGGCAGATTGTTGGGACGGTGATTTTAGAGGGTTGGGATCAAACTGGGCTGTGGCATTTACAGGGAAAAAGGGCTGGATTGACTGGAGATCCCATGGAAAAACCTCCAACCCTAGGGAAAGACTGGAAGTGGATCCAGCCCAAGGAAGGGAACAGGGCTGTGGTTCCTCCCTGGGGTTCTGCATTCCTGGTGTTCCCAGGGCACAAATCCAGGAGCTCCCCGGAGGAAATGACACCCGTCCAGACGGGAAGGGACGGAAAACGATCCCAAAAAAGGAACAAGGGAAGCGGGGCCGAGCCTTGGCCTGACACAAACCCATCCCAGGCAGCTCCCTGGGGGGGTTAGAAACCATTGTGTGAGTCTCCTCCTTCCTGCAGAAAACCAGGAGCAATCCACAGGCCGTGGGAGGGAGCGCGAGCCCTTGGAACACCAGGGAGCTCCTTTGCCTGCCCGAATTCTGAGCTCATTTCGGCTCCCTGGGGAAGCTCAAACCAACCCAGTGGTGCCTCTGCCTGCAAAGGGAAGCAGGAGCTGGTTCCATAAGGAGATGGAAGTTCCTGAGGGGTTCAGGAGAGCGGCTGTGGGGAAAACTCAGGGATTAGGGAAAATTCTGCCGGGGTTTTTTTTTCATTCGCAGAGAGGAAAAATTAAGTCCTGGTGCACAACAAGTTAAGGGGCTCTTTCCTCTTCTCTTCCAGATAACAGACAGCACCCTAATCCAGCTTTCCATACACTGTCCACGGCTCCAGGTCCTGGTGAGTATTCCAAGGGAGGCTTCCAGCACTTGAAACAGAGGGATCTCAGTTGAGTTGCAGTGACTTCTGTTCCTGCCAGTCCTTGGACCCAATTCCAGGGCCCTTCCCACAGTGGGTGTCCCAAAGGTGGGTGCTCCCATGGCAGGGGTGTTTGTGGAATTCCTGTGCCACCCTGTGGGTCTCATCTGCCTTTCCCAGTCATGGGAATCGTGGAATGGTTTGGGTTGGAAGGGACCTTGAAGGTCACCCGGTTCATGGGCAGGGACAACCTCCCACCCTCCCAGGTTGTTCCAGCCTGGCTTTGGACACTCCCAGGGATGGGGCAGCCACAGCTTCTCTGGGCAGCCTGTGCCAGGCTCTCCCCACCTTCCCAGGGAAGGATTTTTACCCACTGCAAGTGGAAGTTTTCCCCTTGGATGCACAGATCCCAGTGGCTCCAGTGCCAGGGGGGAGCACAGACCAGTCCTAAAATCCTAAAATGCCAACCAGCCCAGCACAGCCCACCCTCCCTCGTGTCCCCAGGGAGGCTGGGGCTGGATTTTTGGGGCGGCAGGAGCCGCCTGTGACCCCTGAACTGGCTGTGTTTGGGCACAGAGTTTATCCCACTGTGAGCTGATCACGGACGACGGGATCCGGCACCTCGGGAACGGCGCCTGCGCCCACGACCGGCTGGAGGTGATCGAGCTGGACAACTGTCCCCTCATCACTGACGCCTCCCTGGAGCACCTCAAGAGCTGCCACAGCCTGGAGAGGATAGAGCTGTACGACTGCCAGCAGATCACCCGCGCAGGGATCAAGAGACTCAGGGTGAGCCGGGATTGGGGGAGTTATCCACGGGCTGGGAGAGCATCCTTTGTGGATCTAGGGGTGTGGAATTGGGAGTGCTTTGGGTGGGAAGGACCTTAAACCTCATCCAGTTCCATCCCCAGGGCCTCCTCCTGCTAGCCCAGCTTGCTCCAGCCTGGCCTTAAGACACATCCAGGGATGGGGGGGCAGCCCCAGCTTCTCTGGGAATTCCATCCCAGCCCCTCACCCCCCATCACAGGGAAGGATTTCTCCCCAGCGTCCCTTCCCAAGGCCATTTGTTTCTCCCTCTGGAAAAGAGGAGTCACGATAACATTTCACCTGCAGGGAGGACATGGCTCTGTCAAGTAAGGTCATAAAATCATGGAATGCTTTGGGTTGGAAGGGACCTTGGAGCTCATCCAAGTTTCTGGGGCAGGGACACCCCCCCACCAGGCCAGGCTGCTCCAGGGGTGCATCCCAGGGATGGGAAAAGCCTTGTTCCTTCCTCATTCCCTGCAACCCTCCCAGAGGGAGATCCCACAGGAGAACCCAGCCTGGTCTGACCCCTCTCCCTGGCCGTGTTTGCCGTTCCAGACCCACCTTCCCAACATCAAGGTCCACGCCTACTTCGCCCCGGTGACCCCCCCGCCCTCGGTGGGCGGGAGCCGACAGCGCTTCTGCAGATGCTGCATCATCCTATGACGCTGGAAACGGCTCTTCCCGGCAAAACTGAGGCTGGAATTGCGCCCGTGGCGTTCCAGGAGGGGGGACACTCACACACACACACACACCAGGACCTTGGAGTGGAGCCCAGGGAGCGGGGCTGGGGGTGCCCCGGAGCCCCTTCCCCAGCCCTGCCCGCGATCCCAACCCCGGGAGCTGCTGCGGCTGGGACGGCTTTTCCGGCTTTTCCGTAGGTGGATCGGGGTGATCCCAGCCCTGAACTTCCCCCCAGGGAGGGCTTCCAACCCGGAATGACTGATGCTGCTGGTGGGGGCTGGAATAGGAAGCGGAATCCTTGGAAGTGGGGGCTTGGGGGAGAGGAGAGGGACTGGCTCTGACCCCGCAACCGTCGCCCAGGAGGGGGGAAAAAACAAACCCAACAAACCTGAAAATCCCAACAACAAGTTCTGACGTCCCGTTTTTCAGCGAGGGGGGGATGAAGGAGCAGCAGCTGCTGAGCCGGGATTCCCACTGGGAGCCAGGATTCACCTTGGAGCCCAGGATTCACCTGGGAGCCAGGAATTCCCCTGTGCTTCCCATGGGAAGGTCCCGTGTCTCTCCCATATCCACGCTGTCCAGCTCAGAGGCTTTCCCAGGTGGTTGTGGTAGACCTTGGAATCTGTGATGTCGGATTTTTGTTGCCCTTCCCCACGTCCTCCTTTTTTCCTCTTTTTTTTCTTTTTTTTTTTTTTAATTCAGTCATTTCTCGACATCTCCCAGCCCAAAGTGGCAAATCCTTTAATTTCGGTTTTAAAAAGGAGATTTTGTTAGTTGTTTTTTTTTTTTCCCCCAGGAGAAGCCTGAGCCTGTTGGGAAGGTTTTTAAGGAGCGCCCCAGGCTGGGCTCTCGTGGGATTTCTTGGCCTGTTTGAGCAGGGTTTGGGTGTCCAAATTTTATTCAGATTTCGGGTTTTATCCCAGTGACAAGGATATAATTCCCAATATAGGGAATAATATATATATTTATATATAATTCTCAATACAGGGATTAAGTTCTAGTCTGTGTTCCAGCGACTGTAAGTTCCCTCCTCCTGTCCTTCCCCTCCATCCCTTCATCTTATCCCCGAGGAAAAGCAAAGTAGAACCTCTTTGCTTGTTGCCCTGATGAAGAAATAAGGATTCCCTGCTGGAGCAGGTCTGGGATCCGCCCCAGCTCCAGGGAGCACTGGGGGCTTTCCCGACCTTCCCACCTTCCACAGGTAAGTGTGGAGCCCCCGGGAGGACCCACAGGGATGGAAAGGGGTTGGGATGAGCCAGGCCCAGCTCTGGGGGGAGGGAAGGAGGGGGAGGGGGGGGAGGGTTGGGGGTTGGTTTTGGGGGCGTTTCAGGCAAAAACGAGCGCGGGTGCTCCAGGGGAGCACGGACTGATCCGGGTGTGCCCGGGGTGGAACTGCTGGGCAGATCCCAAGGGTTTCAGGGCAGGCTCTGGGGGAGCTGAGCTGTGTCAGTCATTCCCGCTGGATGGAAGGAGCGCTCGTGTCCGTGGATGTTCCCGCCCGGCCGGGGCAGGAGCGGGGCCGAGGATTTGGGGCCTCCCCTCGGTCCTGAGGGATCCTTTGGTGGGAGAAGAGCAGGTGCAGCGCCAGGAACGGCTCTCACAGGGCCTGGGGGGGTTGGTTTTTCGCCTGGAGTTTGCTCCAAGGACAACAAGGAGCTGCTTCCCAGGCTCTCCAGGCACCAGGAGGGTCCCCCTGGAGCTGCACCCCCTCCATCTCCCCCCCAGTCTCCCCAGTCTGCGCTCACGGCCTGCTGGGAGGAACTCCAGGCTGCTGTGGTTAAAAAGGATACTGTCAATGCCTTCCTGTAGATGCTTTTAATCCCTTAATATTTATTCAAACCCTCTTTAGCGCTGTTGGATTGCCCCTCTCTCCCTCGAGGGGCTTCATTTCCAGAACTTTTCTCCAGGTTTCAAGGGTGGCAGAGGATGGTGGTGACGGACTTGGCCGGGCGAGGGGGTCACCCAGCAATCACAGGATTTGCACAGCTCTGGGAAAAAAAAGCAAAACAAACCACAAACAAAACAAAACAAAAAACACTTTGTTCAGTTCATACTGTGGCAGGGGAGAGCGAAAAGTGGGATTTCGGAGGCGGGGGTGGTGTTGTCTGACTGGATTCCTTTGGAAAAGAGCGGAGTTTTCCGGGGAAAACTCGAGAACACAGAACCCAAAGCATTCTCTTTTCTGTTTGCCAACCAGGGTGGCAGCATTAAGGTAGCTCGAAACTACTTGACAGTGTCCTTTTAAATCAATTATCCGTCTTCAAATGGACTCTTCCTGATGTTTGTATTTATAAGTACCAATAAACACCATTTTCCAAGCCCCGTCTCACCGGAGGAATAAATTCCTGGAGGAGAATCCACCTCCTGCACCTGGACAGGGGGGTGTTTGGGGGTTCTCCAGGTGTGTGAACCGTGGAGTGGTTTGGGTGGGAAGGGTCCCTAAAGCTCAGCCCCTCCTCAGGTGGCTGTGAAGGGTGTTGGGTGACTGGGAGTCAGCTCCCAAAATGTAGGGGAATTGCTCCATCCTGTGATTTCTGAGGTGTAGAGGTGCAGTCCCACCCCTGTCCCAGCTCCCTCCCTGTCCTCCCTTGGAAACCTCCCAGGTTCTGTCCCCCAGTCCTGGAATGTTCCCACCTCCCAGCAGAGTTTTCCTGTGAGCTGGACCTGCCTTGCAGCTCCCCCAGCCCAATTCCTGCTGGGCCTCCCCACAAAGACACCTCTCCAGGGAATCAGCCCCGGGGCTCCTGGACTGGGAGATCCTCCAGCAGATCCAGTGCAGCCAAAAACGAGGCTTTTCTGCTCTTTCAGGGCACTTTTTATCCCAATTCTTGAGCGCTCCCGCAGAGGGAGAGGACGGGGCAGGTGTGATGTGCTTGTTTCAAACAGGGATTTTGACAAATTCTTCTTTTCTAGACCTCACTGTAATTTCCCTCGTATTTTTATTTGATTTCCCCTGGGTTGCTCAGGGCTGGCCTAAGGTGTGGTGGGGGTTTTGGTTGATTTTAGGTTGTTTGTTTTTTTTTTTATGGCAGGGTGAGGGATCTTGGCTACAGTGTCCTGAAAAAAGGAGGTTTGAAACATTTTGCCCTCTTCTGGTGAAGGATTGTGTTGTTGTGGGGGGTGTTTTTTTGGGGGATTTATTTTCCATCTCAAGGTTTCTTCCCTCCCTCTGGGCCAAGTCCCAGCAGAGGCTCCTTGTGCTGCAGTGCCAGGAGAGCAAAATAATGAAGAAAATCAAGGAGAAGCCTCTTTCCCTCCTCTGTGCAAATCCCTCCCTCCTTCCCAACTCTGGACTTGGGGTTTTTAACCCATTTTTAGCTCGGGGGGAGGGGGCTCGGCCCGAGGGAGTGGGAGCAGGAGCTGAGCCCTGTGCTGTGCTCTGTGGTGCAGAGAGCTGGGAAATGCTGATTTAATGTTGTGGTCTGTGCTTCCCTGGGGGTACAGTAATGCATTCACTGAGAGTAAATACACAGATACAGATGTAGAGGTGTAATAGATGTAGCTAAGGTTGTGGGGGGGAACCCCAAACCCCCACAGGGATTGAGGCCGCTGCTCTCCATCCCGGTGTTCCTCTCTCCATCCCGGCACGGCTCCAGCTCCGGTCCGGTGGGAATTGTCCCCTCCTGCAGCTCCAGCTCCAGGTCCTACCGCAGCAGCAGCTGGAAACCCTCGGGGCCGGGGGCTGCCCGGGGGGGTGATGGGGCTCAGCCAGGGCCACCGATCGCCCCCTGCCCTCCTGGGTTCCCCACCCCCGATCCCCCGGTACCTTTGGCGATCGCCACCACAAAACTGGTCTCGTCCTGGAGGGTCCTGAGCATCTGCAAGGCGTGGGGATGGGGGGTGTGAGAGGGGCCGGGGGGGGTGTGTCCCATCCCAGCCCGTGTTTTGTCACCCCCTGGGTATCCCTGCGTGTCCTCACCGCGTCGCTGACGAGGACGTGGATGCCGGAGGGTCCCTGGCGGGAGAGCCGCAGGATCTGACCCGGGGGGAGCCCCAGGAGCTCCGCGAGCTTCCCGGTGAGCTCGGCCACCGTCAGCTGCTCCAGGTGCAGCTCCTGGTACAGCCCTGGGGTGGGGTGGGATGGGATGGGATGGGGTGGGACAGGGCTGTGAGCGCCCACCCTCCATCCCTGCTCTGCCTTGCACCTGAGCCCCCACCCCACACCCCTGGGACCCCACCCCACACACATCCCTGAGCCCCCACCCCACACACACACCTGAGCCCCCGTCCTCCACACCCTCGGCCCCACCGGGCTCCCGCGCCACGTAGAGGGTCAGCCGGGGCCGCGGGCACCTGAGGGGGCAGAGAAGGGGCTGGCAGGGGGGCTCGGGCCTCCCAGAGCCTCCCGGGGGTCCCCAGGAAGAGCCCACCTGCCCTCCAGCGCATGGCACAGGCGGATGCCGTCGGGGGCCCCGCAGATCTGGATCAGGTCCCTGCGGGAGAGCTTCAGCAGGTCGGCGCCTGCGGACAGGGGGGCTCAGGGGGTGGCAGGTATTGGGGGGGTGGGCTCTGCCCCCCACCCCAGCCGGGGGTCTCACCTGTGAAGTTGGCGAACACGCGGGCGCAGGCGGAGAAGCGGCGCCGGAGGAGCCACTGCTGCGTCTCCAGGGGGGATGCGCAGGGACTGAGCGCCTGTGGGGGGGGTGGGGGGGCTCAGAGGGGGCTCAGCCGGGGTATGAACCGAGCGGGCGCATCCTCAGCCCACCCAGCCCCTCCTAGGGGGGTCTCGGGGGGCTCCCTCACCTCGCCGGGACTCTCGGCGGGTCCCTCGGCGGCGCAGGCGGGCGACACACACCCCCTGCGGGAGGGGCCGGGGCTCAGCGGGGACCCCAACAGTGCAGGGGGGGGGTCCCAGGGGGCCCCACTCACCTCTCGGGGCTCAGCAGCTTGAGGGGGTGAGGGCTCGGCAGCCCCGGCGTGCCCGGGGGGCTGTGGGGGGCACCCAGCACGTCCGGCCATGGGGGGCACTGAGGGTGGAGGGGGGTCATGGGCAGAGGGGCCCGGGGGGCACCCCCAGCCCATGAGGAGGGGGGCACAGGGCCGGGTC